AGGGGGGGGAAGGCCGGGCGAGTGGGGGGGAAAGGCGGGCGAGCGGGAAGGCTACAGCGTTCCGTTTGGCAGAGCGTTCTGCGTCCTGCCTTCGCTCTTCTCACAGCAGCGTCTCCCGTGTCTCCGCACTCCCGAGTTTGCTCAAGGGCTTCCAGTAATGTAGAAGAGAAAGGATTGAGGACAGGGGCTTGGCTTGTTTTTTTTTTCCCCTCCCAACTTGTTAAAAAGCTTTAAGGCTGATAGTGATAAAACCTGTTTCTGTAGCGGGGGTAGAGTAAGTTCTGGAAGGGGGGCTGGTGTAGTCACCGGGGCGTGGTTGGGTGGTGCCGTCGCAACCCACCGAAGCACTGGGGTGGCTGCCGGTGCTAGCGGGCCGTCACCCTCGCCCCGCTCGACTCGGGCGCTTCCTAGCAGTGCCCACGTTCTTTTACGTAATCCGGGAGAGCTCGGCGGGCAGCCGTTGCCTCTCCGGGCCTGCTCTGGCCCTGTTTGCTGGCTTGCCTCGCTGCTGCTTTCCTTTTTTTCAGCACTGAGTACCTTCCCCCTCCCGCGTCCCAGCAGGGACGTTCTTAGGCTGCTGTCTGAGGCTGCAGTCCTGCTGCCTAAGCAGTTGGCTTACGCAGCTGTCCAGGGCTTGGACCAAGGCTAGACTTCATTCATTCGACAGCGCTTTATGGCGGGTGTGTTAGAGACAGATCTGCTACAAGCATGGATTAATTAGAGTTGTAAGTTTCCGCAACCTTGTATGATACATGTAGGTGGGTGAAGTATTTAGGATTTGTCAAAACTAGAGTACACCAGGCCTTGGCAGGTTTTTTTTTTTTCCTTTCTTCCTCCTCTTGCTTTTTTTATGGCTTGTTTTATTAGGGAGATCCAGTTTTCTTAAATACTGAAACAGGTGTGAGAATGAAAGGACTGGAGAAGAGCAGGCTATGAACGGGTAATCCAAGCGCTAGCTGCAGCGGACAGCTGCTGCTAGCGTAAAGAGAGGTGGGAGCTGCTTTCATCTCTGTGCATGACCACCTCTTCTTTTCCCCTTAACCTTCACGTTGTTAGTGACACTGCTGTGTTTCTCAGAACAGCTAGAACTTGAAGTAAACGTTTTCTTAACTGCTGCATACTCCGAGCTCTAGCTTGCTGCTGTAAAACGACAGAAGGCTATGGAGGATAACAGTGGCTGGTCTTCATTCTCACGTAGTGTTTCTGTAGTGTGCTGTGAAAGGGCGTGAGAGGCCTTCTCTCGGCGCTTGGGCCGCTTTCATACCGCCAGCGAAGGGCCTAGGCAGAATCTGGTATTACACGTGATCTCTTAGAAAACTGCGTGGAACCGGCAGTACCGATGGCAATGGCATCTTGCTTCTCTAGGACCAACAGTAACTGATGTTATTTTTCTTCTCTTCTAGGTCCACTTGGTTGGTATTGATATCTTCACTGGTAAAAAATATGAAGATATTTGCCCTTCAACTCATAACATGGATGTTCCAAATATCAAGAGGAATGATTACCAGGTGAGTTAACAGTCATTGTGTCCTCCCACACATTAAGAGGCTTTATACTCCGAATACCACAGGTAAACTCTCTTCATCCCCAAACTTGCCTCTCAATTAATAAAGTACTGTTGTCAGAATTAATGGAACTTGCCTGTCTAGGCATGACATTGCTGAACTCATAGCATTTACCGAGTTGTTAAAACTGTCGGAGCTCACTGCTTACTGTACGAACAACCCCAGGTTGTAGTGGCGATCTTTAGAAATGACAGGTAATAGACATAATTCAGAACCCTGGTTTTTCTAGCTCGTGTTGTAAGGTCACTTCTTTATTCTTTGCGATACTGGCATCGTTTAGAATCTGAAGAGAGGTTATCCCTGCTGCAAGTTATTGTTAGTTAAAGGATAATCAAGATTTCACTTCAAGTAAATTTGAATCTAAGCATATATTGTCATTTATAATTTCACCCTTACATAGGGTAGATGAATCAACAAGACAGTCTTAAACTGCATTCGATGCCGATTCTAACTTGCTACAGTGCTTTCTGCTCCTTGTGTGGAAGCTGGCTTTAGTTGATCTCAAGTAATTTTGATGCTCCTGAGCTCTGCTCTGAAATATATGTACGGGGGGAACTTGGCAGGCTTCTGTAACTTCTGTGATGCCTTCTGTGATATGGGTAGTGAGCGCTTAAAAGCAGGTGAGCACAACGCCGGTTCTGAGTTGTTGTAACGTGTCGGCTGTCTTCCCATTGTCTTGGGCACAGTTCTGGTCAGGAACCGGTACACCCACATCAGTTGGAAAGCTGCAGTTGCTTGGCAAAGCCAAAGTTCAGAGTCTTGGCGACTCTTCAGGACAGCTGGTGCTGTTCGAATAAAGTGTGGCTAGCGTGTCTTAGGGCTCAGACCTTCCAAGAGATTCTTAATGCTATCTTGGTGATCTTTCTCTTGTGTTCTTGGGTCCTTATTGCTACTGAAATTCTTGCTGTTTACCAGACTTGTTAGGGCTGCCTTTTAGGTTTGCTGTTAACGCGTTCCAAGTTCCCTAACCTGCTCTGTCAAGAGAGCTGTTCCCCTTAGCTCAGGCTTTCGGTTAGGCTGAAAACAAGCATTATAAAAGTGTCCCAGAGCTTGGTGAATGTTCCCTTATTTATTCATTAGCCTCTAACGTAAATGATAGTACCTCGTTGTACAAATGAAGGTATAGAAGTGTACGGTTCAACCGTTGTGTGGTTTGTACACTTGGTAAAAGCAATGCTGGTCAGCAAACACCGTTCCGGTTATTGTTTCTAATTCAGAGATGTAAAAAGCCGAAGCAGTGACCTGGAAGCAGTACATTTTCTAAATCACAAGGATGGGTTTTGCAGTGCCCCACATGCTAGGAAGTAACCAGCAGGGTTCTGGTGGTTCTTGATAGCAGGCTGGCTTTTGCTGCGTTGCCCTAACTCTCAGGCCTCTAAACTGTTGTTAAAAATGGACTTAAATTAGATTCTTAACTATTACACACACAGTACTTAAGAATGAATGTAACGGGTAGAGTTTGCTGCCTTCTGCTTGTCTTCAGCTACTGCCCGCTAGTGACTACTGATGTTGAACTTCCTAAAAGTGAACTTCTCTTCACAGCTGATAGGTATTCAGGATGGGTATCTCTCCCTGCTGACAGAAAGTGGTGAAGTTCGTGAGGATCTAAAGTTGCCAGAAGGGGATCTTGGCAAAGAAATAGAAGGAAAATTCAATGCCAATGAAGACGTGCAGGTAAGTATAGAGGGCAGACAAGTAGAGTTGTGGTTAATTCCACTTGGTTATACAATGAAGAAGTCTTATTCTGATATTGACCCTTTGTATCTCTCCGTGAAGAGCGGGAACTGGTCCTTTGAGATGCAGGAGGGCTTTTGTACTGGAGCACTCAGTATGGCACTGAAGCCCGGCTCAGTGGACCGTAAGGTGATACGGGTGTCTCTCAAATGTCTGGATAAATCCTAACAGTGCTGTCCGCACGGTGTGGCTTGGAGCCTCCAGGCTTTCTTAATCAGGACCAAGTGTAGAGTTTTGTGATGCAGCCTGAGCAGTCTAATTTGCTAAGTTAGCAAACCCGTCTGCAAGTAGCTCTGCAGACTGCAGTCCGTACTGGGCCACGCCAGTTGCGTTTGGCTCTATTGCAGGAGCTTGTTCGTCTTCCCGTCTTGTACGAACCTCAAGCTGCCAGCCAAGGCAACGTGGCAAAGAGAAGGCAGCAGAAGAGTAAATCGGTGGGAAGGGCAAATATTGTGGAAATTCTTCTGATGACTGAATTTTACCAGCTTCAACTTTTTTCTTCTCAAGAGAGATGGGATTAAAATGTGAAAGTCTAACTTCTAGGAGCGCTTCCTCTGGCGTGGGTTGGAGCTCACCTATTTGTCTTTTCTTCCAGATATCCGTCATAAGTGCAATGAATGAAGAATGTGCTGTAGCCATAAAGCCTTGCAAATAAAGAGGATCACCAGGCTTGGGCAACTGCTCAGGTCTGGACAAACCACAGATCTATAAATTTGGTTCTTATTGTCACCAAAGCTCTGGCCTTCACAAGCAACCTCATTTCTTTTTTGAATCGTTAAAAAGCCGTGCTGGATTCTGGATTAGTGTTGCAGGCTAACTGGCAGTTTTCAAAATCACTGAGATTTTAATTCCTTAATTGTAACTATTTTAACATTCCTGTGGGTTTCAGCTATGGATCTAAGAAACCAATCAGGTGTTACTAGTGGATATATTTTTATTTGCTTGAGCAAAACAGTGTTTGTCTGTATGAACAGACAAAAATACAGTATTCAGGGGCTTTTAGATAAGCTGGTAGGTATCTAGGATTATAAAGTGACCTAGAGCACAAATAGTATTTTTCTTGACATGTTTAGGTAGAACTGACAATAAAAGTAGCCTCTTTTTTTTTTGTTGTTTTTTTCTTAAAGCTTAAGTATTTTGTGGATTGGGACTCTTGCAGAACTGTAGGTGCCAATCGCAACTTTTAGACCAAGAAACTCAAGTGATCAAAAATGCCAGCTGGCTTGACCAAGCCCCAGTGGCCATGTGCAACTTAACTGTATTACCTCTGTATTCTTCTTTGCCAACTTGTTGGCTTATTGTAACGATAAAATGGTGTCAAAGCCTACCTGTGGTTTAGGCAGGCAGTTGGAATATTGGGTAGGTAAGACATAGATAGGTCAAGGGGACACAAAGGTGAGAATGGATGTTAAAGCTATAGACTTTCACTCGAGGCCTTTGTCAGACTTGAAAAATAAAATAGAAAAACGCAGTTCAATTGCTTTCCTCTATTGTATTTATCTTAAACTATAAAAGGGTGACAAAATCCATGGGAATCTGTTGCAGTGCTTCCAGCTTTAGGTTTTAATCTTCAGGTTCAGACCATATTTTTGTAGCACAGGGACCACATCTTTTTTCAAAAAGTGGGACAAACTGTAGCATTAAGCCTAAACTAAATGCATGTGATTCTTTTTAAAAAAATAAAACTATTGTATTTTCAAAATATAGACTTGACAGACAATACTGAACAACCATGGCTTAACTATAAAAGTAAATAAATTGCAACATAGTTACGAAAGCTAGCTCCTCTCCAAGGGAGTTCTGAGTCATTGAAACATGCGTGCATGCCTCTAACTATTTAGTAGCTTAACAGGCAAACTCAAGGCTTCATGGAACTAGTCATGGAAGGATGACTAGCCTGCTCCCGTTTAAGGCGTTCAACTTGAATTCTAAAACTTGGTGACTCTTCATGAGTGGGAAACTTCCTTAGTCCGTGGCTCAGACCTCTCTTCACAGTTGATAAGTTGTTTCAGGAACTTGCCTTAAGCTTCAGTGGCTGTTGGCTAATGGAAACAGGAGGCATGCTGCCCTGGACAGCACGCACAATTCACACTATTGGCAGCGAGAGCCGGACTTCACTGCTGTTAACTGCTTCAAATGTTTTCAGCTGAATAGTATGTACTCTCTCATCGCCGAAGGGCTCATGGCAACTGTCCCGAACTGCCCTTGTACGTACCGTGGCAGGGCTTAGCCGATCACGGAGGTCTGAGGTAGATGGCAAACCCGTGCGTTTTCCATAGACTTCTCATGACAGGGAGAGCAGTACGGTGAAGGTAAAGACAGCAATAAATCTACTCTGGTAATAAAGCACAGTTACCTGGGACACCTGGCAGAAGTAGGATACTGCCCCTCGCTCTTGCCTAGCACAATACACATTGCAGGTGAACTCTATAAAATAGCACCTTGACTGAAACGGCAAAACCGCTTTCTAAAAAAAGCTGTAGGTGCAAGAGATGGAAATGCATGCAGAATAGTTGTGAAGTGCGTGCTTAACGGTTCAGGCTAGTCGCACTATGCTCCTTTCTGCCTCTCCATCGAGCTGGTACCTGAGAGACGGGCTTTGTTGGCTTTGGAGGTGACTGAAAGCACTGATGATGGTCTCGACAGCAAGCTGAGCTGTGTGATGTCAAAAGGGAAGTCATAGGTTGCTATGTCAAACTAGTGCAAGTTCTAATGCTATCACCGCATTACGAATACTTCTAATATGCTTGAAAACTACAAGACTCGGATTTGTCCTTGTTCTGGTAGTGCTTTAGTCTGCTTTCAGGTGCCTGTCTGTCCTGTAAGACCTTGTCGGAAGACAGGTATTTGATGCCACTGTCCCACAGTCTAAGCATTTACTTAGACTGTAAGCTCTCTGGGACAAGGGCTGGTTTTTGTCCTGTCCCTGCAAGCGGGGTCCTGGTCTGACTGGAGTTTTCAGGTACTACAGCAATCTAAAGATAGAGGTTTTATGACCTCCAGCTTGCTGGAAGAGCCCTCCTTGGGACATACGGATGTCCTTCTATTGCAACCTTCAGTTCTGCAAGATTTCAGTGATTAAGTACTTCATTATAGGTTTGGTCTTATATACTTAGTTGTCTTTTGTGAAGCACTTCGAACACTATGGAAGTGCAGAGCATTGGCTCGTCATGCATGAAGTTTCCCATAGGTAATACGTAAGCATGAGTCTTAAGCATAATCGCCAAGTTTCGGTAAGGTTAAAAGTTGCTTCTAAATTAGAACATGTATTTGAGGCATTTTTTCTAAAGTAAGATGTTTCAGTTTACTGTCAGAATCGTTTGCAACAAACTTTCTTTGTGATCGATAGTGTGTATTTTTAAGATCCCTAACCAAATGCTTAGGGAAATTCTCCTTTCATAGCTTTACTTTAAAACAAATCTTACCAATGTATGTGTTCTGTAGTACTGTCTTAACACTTAAATTGTGTCAAAACCGAAAATGATAAACTTCTAATAGCTGATGCAATTGCTTAGAGTAAAGGCTGTGAAAACCAGGAGGTGAAGAAAAGTATTTCCACTCCAAATAATGCATTTTTTTTATGGCTCCAATTCATTGAGTTTCTCTTACAGAATTCTTACAGAATTGGAAAGACTGCAGTGTTTCCTGCCTCAAATGTTGGCAAATAATACTTTAAGATTTCAATAGATCCTTCTAATTTTTGCTTATAATGGTGGTTTTTCAACTAGGCTCTTGCTAGTTGAGCCATGTTCTCAGGGCTGTTTTTTTTAAGAAGTTAGCTGAATTTCATTGTTTTAACGTAACTGCTTTCAAGCTTCTTGCAGGTTTTTCTAATCCACAATGTACCCAGAAATGGTGCACAGTCTGTAGTTTCACAGGTAATTTTACATAATCTGTAAAGAAGTCAAACTTGTTGACAGTTCAGACTCTTATGGTTACTGCAGGTCAGTCTCACAGAATTCAAAATTCAATAAATCCCACTTTTTTTTGGTTGAGTAATTAGAATGTAGTTTGTTACAGTAGAACTAAACTTCAGGAAAAACAGAAAAAGACCTTGTTAAGGATATTTTGAGTATCTCGCTTATACACTGAGAATGTTAATGAAGGCGTAGATCCTGGAGGCGTTGTGGTGGGAGCGTGGTGGACGTTCAGCACGGTACACCGGGAGCATCAGAAGTCCCTCCAGCATCTGCAGCCTGGCCCTGCAGTATTTGGCATCTGAGAGTAACTTGGTTTGTGAACTTTAAAACGAAACGTTTGCTATGTAGCGCTGTATCGCAGAAAACCCCTATTCTCAGTTGTCCTGTGCTGTATGTTGTAAGCGTAACTGTTGTTTGGTACGGCTTTCAAAACGCGGGGGAAAGAGGAATGATGGTGATGACTTGTTTTACTGATGATAGCAAAAAGCAAACCCTGTAACTCGTGTGAGCCGGGAACGCTGGTCCTCCTCGCGGTTCAAACCTGTATCTGTTTCGGAAGCTGTATTAGCGCCGTGCAAATGATGCGGGGAAAGATGTAAATGTGTGTTTTGCTCCAGAAACAATAAAGATGTCAGTGCTGTGGGGAGCTGGGTGCTGGTTAAGATGACAGGGACGGCTGGAGAGGCTCTAAGGCCTGGGTGAGGTTGCTGGAGGCATCTGCCAGCCCCAGCTCTGACAGGACGGCTGCTCGCTGGGCCTTCGCTGCCCCGCTGTCAGCTGGCCCCTCAGAAACACTTCACCGCTAGAGCGGCGCGGCCTGCCACTTGTACGAGAGCAAGAGGAAACGCTTGCCTTCCTGTCCAAGAGAAATAAAAATCAGACAATAAAGTTAAATAAAAAGGTGACTCATTCATGCTAAAGACGTGTGGCGCCTCTCTGCCTCAGCGACAACATGGCCGCCGCCAGGCCGGCCCGCCCCCCAGCGTACCCGCGCCGGCCCGGCCCCCGCGCTTGCGCGG